GAGAGTAAAGTGCACCAGCCGGACGGTGGACGAAGATGCCTCAACCGTGACAAGACCCAGACAAGATACTAGGAGCGTCCGCAGTACAGGAATGTTTTCGACATCCAGATCCACAGATCCCACCTCCACCCCTGGGGCATGACAGAGCTCGTCAGCCCGTAATGGCCGCTCCGAATACAACACCCACATCAGGACTGAAGGTCCTGATGTGGGTGTTGTATCGATTTGTGTCCCTTCCGGGCCTTGAGTCGGGCTAGAGTTGCCGTATAGGTATCACCCAACCCATTGCCCTTTGTCATCTCTTCAAGTTTCTTCCTTCTCTGGCGAATTGTGACTCTCCTAGAATAGTGTCGAGGTTTAGCGAAACAAGTAGGAATGTACATAAAATCGTGGGTGAGTATCGATCAATGATGGAGTGGCAATGTTAAATGCTCTTACATATCGGATATCTTTTCCAGGATAACTCTGATAATATCTGCCCGTAAATCATCATTCATTGCCTCCGGATCGGTGTCCCCGCCTAACCTCATCTCCACATAACTCCTGATGTCATCTGTATTAGGGCTGATGGGTATCACAACCGCCTTGCCGAAATATCTTTGGATATCTTCTCTGATATGGGGCCTCCCGGCGAGGAATATTCGCGTCCTAGGTGACTCCGAAATAATATCTTTCAGCAACTCCAGCAGCTTCGGCAGATGCTTCGACAAGCATTCATCCAGCGCATCAATGCAGATGAAAACTTGGGGTAGCACAGCAATCGCGCTCCTTAGCATTTCCATCAGATCCGGAAGTCGCAGTCCTCTGCCACCAAACTCCCTTTGTGCTTTCCGAAACGCCTCCCGCAGAGGATTCTGGATGTCCCCTCTGCCAACAAGCTATTTCAAGATGGCTCCCATCATGTTGGCGACCGTCTGCTCTTATTGCGCAAGGAAGTCGCAGTACAAGCCCGTAACGATAATGTCCTCCTCCCTGGTCGAATCGCACAGGCTGTCAATAACCAAGGAACTAGCATTTCCAATGGTTAGCTATTTTCACTTTTCCTCCGAGAAGCCCCGCCGATTACCTTAGATACGTCTTGCCCACTCCCGGGTTGCCACTGCAAAACAAGACAGTCCCACCAGCTCCACCCTCATCACCCTTCCACTCGCGAAACTCCCTTGTTTCCAATAACCAATCCCCCACGCCATCAAAGTGCTCGCTGCGCACGCTTTGATGTCTATTATTTGGCTCAAGTGGAGAGAGCCATCGCATAATCTGCGCATCCTCATCAGACATGTAGATGGTTTTATTGAAACAACCTGTTATGTTGCCGCTGTGGGTGTTGCGGTCGCCGCCGATCTTGACATTAATAGTCTGGGCCATGATGTTCCGTCGGAAGCGTACGCTGAATATAGGAATGATAAAATATTTTGTGGGGGTATTGTGGGAGATGATAAAATTCTGTGAGAACATCTGAAGAAAGGGGGGAGATGAGGCTTGTTGTGTGACACTTAGGCCCTGCTCGGCTTGCCACAAAAATCGCAATATTTCCACTTTAATAGGATTTTTTCTGTGATCTAGAAATATTTAAATTGGGCCGTGCTCGGCTTGCCACAAAAATTGTGATTTTTTAAAATTGTATCTTAATTTTTTTAAATTGTGAATTTTATCAGATGTAAATAGGATATAGGGTTATATGAAAGAATTTCTACAAAGATAATATACAATTGGAATACTGTAGTAGATACAACTTGAAATTAATTTCATATATGCTATTCTGAGTCCACCAATCTTTATCAAATAATTTCAAGCAATCAGAGAGAGGAAAACTGCAGTTGAGAGGTGAAATTTCTGGCATCATAAGAAGAAATAAATGATAGGCAGTCACTCTGTGAAGAACAAATAATATAATTACTAGAAAGGTTGTGTCAATTAGGTCAACACCCTATATAAAATAAGTGTTTAGAACTAGGGTAACATAAGAATCTAAAAAATCATAGTTGTTACCGAGCACCTATTTTTCTATTTCACAATATATCCTATTTTCAACTTTTATTGTGATTTTTTTAAATTGGTATGATACAAGCCGAGCAGGGCCTTAGTATCCAATCATTTTGGGAGGGTGCATGACTAATGCGAGAACATTATTGTTGAGTTCTCATAAGTATTGTATGGTGTCTCAATACCAGAAACCCCCGGGCTTTCTGTTGCAGATCGCATATAGAGGATTAGATAGGAGGTTATTAATATTTCCTAGTGAACAGCGGATTAGGTTGGGTAGGGATGCACGGCCTTGGAACAACAAAAGCCTAGGATTTACTCCAGTCACTATAATATTATGTTCTCTGAGTTTAACTTACCGGTGTTCCCTATGATCTTTCATCTCCAGTTTTCCCGCCCCATTCTTTGTAGGTTACTCGTTTGAGTCTAAACGGAGACGATTTCCGGGTTGTGTGTCGAGCTAGGGGGTATAGTATAGTGAGCAGACGCGATGGCAGAACGAATTCTGGAGACGAGAAGAATTTTGATGCCACACCCACTCGGCAGAAGTGCTCACGATCTGGGACCCTGCGATTGCGACATAGGGGCCTGGGCAGCTGGGAGGATTGTGGGATTCCGGGCTCGGGAATCATCAACGATCAACCTGCGAGAAACACGGAGATTGGCAAACTTATTAGATCAGTAAAGTAAAAAGAATTAAAGTTAAAGTTAAAAAACAGAAACAGAAATCAAAGTAAACAATCCTAGCTTATTGCGCGATGTTACCGATCGCTCAGACGCTCTTAGGCTCGAAGCAAGATAGTGGGTCGCGTACTCGTAGTGTTGTAGGCGGTTCCCTCCATTCCGGAGTTATTGTGATTTATGCGGAAAGTTCTCCCGACCTGTCCCTCTTCCACCGTCATAGTAGAAGGCAAGGAAATGAGGACATGAACGGGGAGAAAGGATATAAGTGATATCCATGGAACGATGATGATTTTAAGTTACAGAGTTACTCCATAATGCTCAATTCCAATTCCGTCCCGCTCACTCTACCGCGGCGCTATTTATCAACTGCCTCCGGAGAAGAGTAACATGACCGGGCCTCGTTCTTCCTCTCAACAATAATCAATGAATGAATCCGGAAACGTATTCTACAGCGAAAATAAAATAAAAAACAATAAGAACTCCAAAAAAATATCCACAAGAGACATGGCTGCCGCTGAGAAGGGTTTTTGAGACTTTCCTTTTCTGCCTCCGGAGCGCTGCCTTACATTAGTTTCTCGAGATAGCCTTGAACACTGTCAATTGCGTTGAGCTAGGAACCATTTTCGTGGGAGAGAGCTTATGGCTGACTCGTAGGAATACAACATTCTCCTAAAAACACACGAGTTCTCGCGACGACTCAGCGCCACGAAATGCAAAGACCCCAAGCAGGCAAACAGCAAATCCTCAATTTCGGTCCGAGACCGAATCACACTCCATGACACAGTGAATATTCCACGACACCCCCCCCCCCACCAAAAAAATAGCAAGAAAAAGTGAATTCCACATTCAGGCAGGTAAGAAAATGCCCACACCAAATTCCCAGCTCCAAAACTACCCACAAGGTATCATACAATATTTTACAAATCCCCCATCACCCACCGCTCCCCCGACATTCACAACTCTATCAACACCCCACCCACATAAACCCTCCCGGCTAAACCTTAAAAACCCACCCTCCATCTTACGCGACTTTGCGCTTCCTCTCACACCTTCCGGCCTCACTGTACCTCACCCCCTGTCATCCCACTTTGGGACTGAACACACACGCACACCAAAGATCAGGAGTATGATAAGTAGACTCGGAGTCTGCCCAGTCATTCCGCAAATACCCATAACCAACCGAGCAGGAGCGAGTAACGTACGATACCATATCGTCTCTTATCACGGTAAAAGCGGAGATGTGTGTGGGTACGAGTACTAGTACGGTAGGGTAGGGTACAACGTGGGTTGTACTATATAATAATATTATAGTACAGTACAGTACTGTAAGGTTTATCGTCATACTGTATGTTTCTCGTGCGACGTCTGTCTGATTGGGTTTAATAGTGGATGGATCTTGTTTCTAGCTGTTCTGTGGTTTATGCCCGGGTGCCTACCTGTGGGTTCATGCGGGTGGATCTTTTTGGACACGGGTTACACAGGGGGAGAAGAGGGTATATAAACTCAGCTGATTTTTCCGGTTCCATGGAGGCGGACTGAGTGAGGTGTGCGTGACCGAGAGGGGGAGGGGGGGGGGGTACTACGTTCATTATGATTTTCTTTCTCAGGAGTACAAAATTGCTATTTTACATCTTGGGGGTTGGAGCGCTACTTGTATCATGCTTGATAGCTAGGGGATTAGGGACATGGCAGGATTTATCTACGGAGTGAGCTATCATACTACTAGATGTCACAGCGGTTGCTCTAGTGGTCTAATCGTACCACACGACAGTTGTGTGGTGGACTTCATATAGGCCACTGCTTCGGCGATGGGTTATATAACAACGCCTAGGTGCATAGATGCCAATAGCTTACGTGGTATTCCTAAAAGTTCATTAATTAATTGCGAGATAAATCCAAATATTACAACATTAAAATCCCAAACTTCTGACATCATGACTTCTCGAGTGGTCCACGATAGATCTATTATGACTCACACCCGACCATTAACCCCCATAACCATAAAATACATAAAAAGGTGTCCCAAATCTCTATGCTGCTCTCATCTTACTGTGCGTGCGGGTGTATCTCTTGCTGCTGATGTGGTTGTTGTTGCTGGTGCGGTTGTTGCTGCTCGGGTTCTGGTTCTTCTGGTTGCGGGTCCTGTTGAACCTTGTCATCCCTGCCGGTGATGAGGTGCCAGGTATCACTTATGCCTCTCAGGCATCCTGGAAAAAATTGTCAGTGTGGGGTTGATATACGGAGCAAGGAAGAAACATACTCTCAAGAAGTGGAAACTCCGCATCATACAAGAATGTCTTCGGGTATCTATATTCGGGTCCCAATTGCAGCGCCTAACAAATGATTAGCGAAACCCGCACCGTCAGGACGAGCAAAAGGGAAAGTACGCGAGCCATCTCAAACTCCCTTTGCTCTTTCAACTTCCACAAAATCAACAGCATATCGCCGCACCCAATAACCATCGGCACGCTATCGCCGACCCCGGAGATGCTGTTAATCTCATCAACAGCCCCATACGCCAACATAATCTCGAGAAAAATGATAAGTATAAACACGCCAATTCCAAGCCCCAATGCGCAATACAGCCCCCTCCGCTGCTTCGTTCTAGGGTTCGGGATACTAGGCTCGTAGGGTTCCGACTCCTCCAGGGCAAAAACCTGTGTCCAGAAATCTACCGACAAAATGCCTACCGGCTCTGCACCTGTTGCCTCAGCCTTAGCATCTGCTGCCCCTCCTTCGGCTATAGCCATTGCAGGGTCCCGCAGGATATGGAAGTTCCTAGATGACCTCCGTATAAAAACTCCAAACTTTCCCAGGACAGGAATGAACATGAGAAACAGCAAAGGTGACCAAATCCTCCCGATGAGTTTGAAATTTCCCAGGACCTGCACCGGACCTCCGTAGTAATAAATAAAGGTTCCACAATCCCTCAAAGTATGATATATTCCTTCAAACCACCACCAAATCACCCATATAACGAAGGCCCCGAGTAGTGTGAGCCTGGCCATCTCCCCGCCAGTGGCGAGGTTGGGATCCTCCCGGCGGGATTTGCGCGGACGCATCCGGTCGAATATCTCTAACATGCAGAGGAGCGTGAGGGTGCCCATGAACAGGAAAGTAACGATCACACCGTCCGCAGGCCAGATTGATCGGGTCTGGTTTACCAATGCAACCCATTCCGCGAAGGCAAAAGCGTAGTTTACGTTCCGCATGGTCGCGCGCTCCTCTTGGTCGTGCACGAGGCAGACCGTTAGGATCGTGGACAGCCATTGCGTGTACGTACCCACTCGGACTCCGATGCCGTAGAGTTCAGGCTGGTCGAGGAGGGGACGACAATCACCGGGCGTAAGCTGTCCAGCTGGTCTATTCGACATGGTGTTTTCTAGCTAGCGGGAGAGGGGGGAGGCAAGGAAATGGAAGAAGTGTTAGAGGGAGGAGATCGGAGGGAGGGGTTAAAAAAGTGTGTGAATAAATGGGAAAATGCCCCTGTACAGCACAGAGTATCTGGGCTATCAACTGAGATTTTAGCCAGTTTAGCAGTTTCCCTACGACAATAACTGCGGGGTGTGCTCGAGTACTTGCGAGCGGGGCCTACACTATGTATAAAATTAATGACGCCCAACCTCGAAAGTGACTCTCCAACAAGCAAGCACTCCTCCGAATAGGGTGTGTAGCAAAACACTCGAGTAGAGTAATTGCGAATACCTTCGAAATATCTGTACCGTGTCGCTCACAGCTATGCACACATCAACCAACCCCGGTACCACAATGTACAGTACTCGAGTTAGCTGGCTTTACTATCGTACAATATCGCCAAAAAGCAAAAAAATGAAAGGAAAGAAGAAGAAAAGAAAAACAGCACCTCAGCTCGATCTTGCCAACCCACGGAGCCAGTCAGCAGAAGATCCCCACCCCCACCCCCAGCCAATTCCCAAAAGCACATCTCGAGGGATTTACAAAAATACAAATGGGATACGGTAGCTTCCTAATTCGCTCCGGAGGAAGGAAAGTGAAAGGAAAAAGAAAGCACAAATCTTTCCGTATCCGCAATTGTCATTAGTTTTATTTCCTTTCTTTTCCCTCCACTCACCTCTTGGGTATAGCCGGGTACCGTATGGCTGCGGTACCGAGCAGTGAGATGGTGAAGGAGGACACCTTCTACCTACAGATGAAGTGGCACGAACCAGGTAGCATTGAGATACAGTACTCTATGAGTACTAGTGCTATCGGTACTTCCCCTCTTTCGGGCCGGAAGAGATTGAACCATTTTTTTCTTTTATTGTGGAGTGATCAACTCGGACCAGTTCTTCTCGGATGTCTTGGAGAGCGGATAGGCGGTAAATAGCTTCGCTAGACCAGCTACAAGTACTCAAGTACTCAAGTAATCGGGATCCTCCCGAGACGGTAGCTAGCCGCCTTGGGTAAGTACCGTAGGGTAGGTGGTACAGATTACCATACTGGAGGGGCTAACAAACCGGGAGTCCCCAACCTACTAGGCCCGATAAGGAAGCATAGTACAAAAGCGGATCTGGCGTGCAAAAATGAACCGAATTTGTTGTCTGATACTTTGTTGTTCCATCGACATATTCGCTGGTCGAGTTCCATCCATTCATATAGACTTCCGGAATTATACACACAACTGGCTATAGTCGCCGAGAAAGAACATACGGGAGGGGGGGAAGTGAAAAAAGGAAAAATAAAACCAATAACCAAAAAGCACATTAGCAAGTTTGTGCTGCACGAATAGACCTCCCCTCCTGATGAGGTGGTATGGTACTTGAGTGGGACAAGAGACCATAATTTGCCCACCCACGCATGCGCATCAACCTGTTGCGGGGAGGGTGGACAAGAGAGAAAAGGTAGGAAGTGACTCTAGATCTATCTGTCGTACCGGAGTGTTTGCTATTGCCTAAGGCTGATATTGTATATCATACTGCGAGAGTTCCCTCTCGTACGATTTTGACTTTCCCCTCCTCTTTTTCACTTTCCTTCTTCCCCCCCCTCTTCTATTCCCCTCCCCCTTGTTCCTTCCTGTCTCCTTGTGCGCTGTGTAGGAAATTCACGACATCATGAGGAGTTCACTTCAATTGCTTGCAATTCTCACGATAATACAGGGATGTTTGGGGGCCACGAAGCTTGATCTATCAAAGTTGTCGGGATGCTCTTCTCAGTGCGTTATAGGTCCGGATGATGTACCAAAGTGTTTTGATGGGAAGGCGAGCAATGTTGTGCTTGATTATAACTGTCTGCAAGGGTGTCCGTATGGAGAATTGTGAGTTTATCCGGGTTTCCTTGGGAAATGCGTTGGAGAGGGAGCTAACTTCTATCGTGACCCCCAGGAGTGCCGCCGAGACATGGTATGTCTACTGGAAACAACATTTCTTATAATCGAATTCCCATGATAGACAAATATCTAACGATGCCAATTGAACAGGCTGAGCTCCCTCTGTAGCTCACCAAAGCCTTATCCAAACAACACACAACCCAGCTACGAGGAACCCATCACAACTACTTCACCTCAAGAATGGATACACAAAACCACCATTGAGACCTCACACACCCCGGGAGAGAGCAAAATAGTAACCGAGAAAGAACCCGGAACCACAATCGAACTCCCAGGCAAGAGCAAGACCATGACAGAAAAGGAGCCAGGAACTACAATACAGCTCCCAGCGACAGTCGAGGGCAAGGACAAGACAGTACCAGTCATCAAGCCGACAACAATCTGGACCACCCAGCCCGGAACCGAGACAGTCTCCGGCGAAAGCGGCACCGTGACTGTAACTGTGATAAAAACAGTCGTAAATGTGGTTACAGAGAGTGTAACGGTAGTCGACAGATCCCTTGCCACAAATGTCAAGATGGAGACTGCGACAGTAACGGTGGTGCAGAGTGGTAGTGCAATTATTACCGTCGGCGAGAGCTTCGGTAGGACCGCTGTGGAGACTGTGACAGCAACGGTGGTGCAGAGTGGTACTGCTATTATTACCGCCAACGAGAGCTTCGGTAGGACCGCTGTGGAGACTGTGATAGCAACGGCGGTGAATAGCGGTACCGCCACTGTTACCATCAGGGAGAGCTTCACCGAGACGGCTACGGAGACGGCAACCGCGATCGCAACCACAGCGATCACGGTGCGGGAGACAATACTAGTGGACCAGAGTTTCACTGCTACAGCTGTAAATACCGTTCCCGCGCCAAGCACCGTCCGAGAGACGGTAACGGTGACCAATACTCCGCCGGGCCTAATCCAGACACAGCTCCTCACCCAGCCAGCCACACAAGCTCAGTTCCAAACGCTTGTACAGACAGTAACCTCCGTGTCAATCCTCATCCCAGCGCCCGTAATCATCACGGCAACTACGACGGTGTTTAATAGCGAATTCCCACCCCCGTCCATGGTCACAGTGACAAACCCAGCGTCAACAATGACGATAACATTCCCCGCCCAAACCGTCCGCGAGACTCAGACCGAGACTACAACCGCGACCGAGACCACAACTACTACCGAGACAACAACAACCACAGCCAGGGAAACAGTCTTCAACACCCAGATACAGCCATCACAGTTCATCACTATACCCTCGCCGACAGCGCAGACGGTCACATCTACCATTACAATCACAAGCACCACGACGTCCATATCCACAAGTATCATTGTATCCCCCAGTGTGCCGTGCCCGTTAATGACGACAACCACGACAACCACCTCGACAGACACCACTACCACAACAACGACCACGACCACGACCACGACCACGACCAGCACAATAACTTCAACAACCACTACCCCAACCACTATCACCAAAACCCGCGAGGTGACCTCCATCAAAGCAGCGGTCACGGTAACCGCTACTCCAAGTCCCGCCCCATCCCAATACCGGATCATCGGTGCGGAGGGGCAAAGGGAACTGATAGACGAAGACAAACGCCTCTGGTTGGAACCTCTGAAGATTATTCTCCCTTGTATGGCGGGTTGGTGTATTATGGTTACGCTGCTGTGGAGTCAGTGCCTTATGTTGCCGGCTAGCTGCATGACTGGGACCGCAGTGGCAGGTGCGGCGGCGGCAGGGGTTGCCGGCGGGGTTGTTGCAGGTGGTGGGGCTGGCGGAGCGGGAGGGCTTGGAGGACTGGGAGGGCTTGGAGCGCTCGCGGGGGCAGGGGGTAGGGGGTAGGGGTGCGGGAGAGGTTTGAGTTTATTGCTACTAATGCCGCTAGCGGGGGCTACGGTAGATGTTTTTTGTTTTTTTTTCTTCTCTTCTTTTCCCCGAGTTATGATGGGATCACTTAATGTAATGATATGATATGAGCATGGGGGGGGGGGTACGGAGTTATTTTTAATAATTAATTACGAGACAGATCTGGGATCTCGATATCTCGAAGTAGATCCAATGCACATTACCGTACCGTATGTTTTTACTTTTTGCACAAAAAACAAAAAATAACCCTCACACTGCTTTCGTCAAGGTCCAAAACTGAAATGATGCATAAGGACCTACCCCTTTAACCAACTTAATCCGGTGCGAACCCACACCCTCGCTTCACCCATCCACACAAAAGCGCCAACCGATGATCCATACCCGTACAACCAGCATATCACTCTAGCCTTAAGTTACCGGCTATCCAACCAAACAACCCAATCACTATACCCGATTTATCCGACCGCCATCAATTCGACGAAAATGTGATATTACATAACCAACAAACCCTGCTCCGTGCCCTTTTCCAAAAAAGGTCCCACCCAAGATCCTTTTCACAGTGATAAAAAGCCAATGCCAACCCTGCGTCCCCTCGGCGAACTATGCGAGTTGGTATGCAGCGCGCCAGATGCGGTTTAGGCGATTGGCTAGGTAGGTATGCTTGATTCAACCGCAAAGGTACTTTTTTCGCAGACACGTACAGTACTCGAGTATTTGTCACTCTTTGTCGATCTCGAGGTGGATGCGGTTCGAGGGTGGTACTGCACCTTGCGGTACTGTACGTGCGATTTTTGAAAAAGTGCTAATACGATGGTCCGGTAATCTCGAGGGGAGAGAGAGGGGTGGAGACGAGGTATTTCCTGTGGGATGGCCTCGTGTATCTTGTACTGTACTTGTACCTTGTACCATCTCGAGTGGAGATCGAGAGAACGGTGATAAAAAATAGTGAGGGTCAGAATTTTGTGATGGCATTCCTAAGGCACTTGCAATACCTCCAGGAATTCCATCAAATCCTTTTCTCGCCGAATTAATGGGGCTCTGCTCGGTTGGTGAAGGCCAAGCCTAGCAGAGCAAGAAGGGCCAATTTTTATGATACTTTTTTCACTTTTTCAAAGATCCCCCCAATCGAGGAAAACCCGGCTCTCGGGGAGAGAGCGCGTGCGCAGGGAAACAAA